GAGAAACTGCAATTATAACATGAAAATAATGTGACAAAGTTGTAGGGGATAATGTAACACATCGCAAAAAATAAAATAAAAATTGCAGATTTTTTGAGATAATTGGTTTCTTTTTTAAATCAGTTTTCAAACCTTAAAATTTCGTGTTTGAGCAGTTCTTCTTGAAAACGGTTAGTCCGACATACCAATGATATACCATTATATAGATCCATTAATTACACAAAAATTTGAATACTCTGGCTTTAAATCAAATTGTATTGCATAATGATTGAGAGAAAGAGAGAGAGAATGAGTGCAGGGGTACACGAGTATCTCATTGATACAATTTATGCAAATACGAGTATTAAAAACATCATATAGTAAAAGATTAGGCGGAGATTAGGAACAAAAACAATACATTCTTATATTTAAAAATATATATGTTTACAGTTTTGTGTATACATTTAGATAACAACATGCAATATTTATGGTATCCTTGTAAAAATATATGTATACATAAATTGAGATAAATAAAAAAAATCATATATAATATATAAAAATCAATATATATATCTATATATATATATAGATTTCTGCATACATTACATTATGTGCATTAGTATAAAGTATACAATTTTAAAATAAAAAGAGTAAAAGTATGTATGTTACGAGGATAATCTTGAACATGAACATGAAAAATATTTTTGTTTTGTGTTTTTCTTATAATTTTTTTCTTTTTTCTTCTTGTTTTTTAATTATTTTCATTTCATATTATTACGTATATGACTAGTATACCTATATACGATTATAATATTTTTAATATATCATAAAATATAATTGCAAGTTAGGTATTGTTTTGGTATTAAATGTATGAAATGATATGCATGCATGTGATTGTATGATGATATAAAAAAGTATGATATGTAGTATGAAATTGTATGATGGTAGGGAATTGTATGATGACATGGAAATAATTACAATCATACAATTGCATTGCATCTAATTTAAAATAAATGATAGTGAAAAATAAAAAATCATTTAAACAATTGTAAAATTGAAAAAATTTGAGGGCTTTTTTTTGTGAATTTTAACTGAATAAACCACTTGTTGACGTACATACCAGTATATATACCATAGATTAGATGAGTCCAATATTGGACTAACAATTTAAATTGTAAAAATGCTTAAAAATTTAAATGACGAAAAAAATTTTTTCTTTAAGATAATTTCTCTCTCTTTCTCTCTCTCTCTTTCTTTCTCTCTTGTATCTCACCTACAAGAGTATCTTATTGATTACGCTTTCATAAAATACCGTAATCCGAGTTTTCGATCATATGTTGTGCACATGCAATATAAGGACTAATTTTTGTTTATTTTTTGTAGAAAAAAAAAATGCTTCATATTTTACATATTCCAAATTCTAATGTAAATATTGAAAAAATAATATTAGTAAAAAAAAAATGAAAAAAAACATCAAACAAAAAAAAATAAATAAAACGAGAAAAAATAGAGTTGACCGAATCAGCTCTGTGATACCCGTACGGATTTCTTATCTTATGTGCGAGTAAATATGCCATATGGCTCTGGAGCAGACTATGACTTTAAGTTGCGATATTAACAAAATGCCGTATGCAAAATTTCAGTACTGTGTTTTCAATATTTTCTAAAACATGGCCAAACTACTATTGAAGTTATATCGCAGCTACCAGAAGGAGCCAAGAAATTTCAACGACTTTTAATAAACACCTTGGCCCTACTAATATATTCCCTTGCACGAAATTTCAATATCACCGTTTTTTTATAGTTTCTAAGATATAGCCATATAAATTAGGAAGTAGTATGGCAGGTACCCGGACCTGTACCCCATCATAACCGATTTAAAAAGGGCTCTGGCATTTACTATAATAAATCATTTGTGAAAATTTGATGAACTTAGCTCAATTAGTTTTTGAGTTATCGTTGGGAAGGATGGACAGAGCTAAATCGACTCAGAATTCGACGGTGATCAAAAACATTAACTTGAGTCTATATATCAGACCATTATTTGTTAGCGTTACAAAGGGTGAGGCAAACTTAGTATACTCCTCGAACATACGGTCGTACAGGTATAATAATAAAAAACTATATATACAACGGTTATGAAACGGGTATAATAGTTATCAAGACTCTATGAAATTAGATTTGAAACTACAAAATTAATAATAGCTATAGGTTATTGACACAACTTATTGGCCTTAAAACCCCTTCATAACTTTTTAATTTCAGTAGATGATGAAAAAGATTAAGTAAGAGCGAGGGGGGGGGGATAGAATGTATGGGAAATAATTTGATTAGAATTAAGAAAAGTTCTTCTTATAAAAGAATGCTTTACTTAAATCTTGAACTATATTTCAAATAGCCTTATTTCACCTATTAAGTAGGTATATGGTTATATTATTATAAAAAATGACGACACAAATAATTGGCGGTCGTAAGTATTTTGGAGTGTACGAGTATAAATTTTATTATTTCAAATAATAAAAAAAAAAAGAGAAAAAATAGAGTTAACCTTGTCAACTCTGTGATACCCGTACGAATTTGTCATCCTATGTGCGAATAAAGATGTCATGACTGACTATGGGACAGACTATGACTTTAAGTTGACATATTACCATATTAATTTATGCAAAATTTCAGTACAATGTGTTTTTCAAAATACTGTGTGTGCCAAACTACTATTGAAGTTGCATGGCAGCTACCAGAAAGAGCCAAAAAATTTAAACGAATTTTATCAAGCACATCGGCCCTACTAACATATTTGCTTGTGTGAAATTTCAATACGACAGCTTTTATTGTTTCTGAGATATAGCCAAATAACTTTTGAAGTTGTATGGCAGGTGCCAGAAGGAGCCAAGCTATTTCAACGACTTTCATAAGACACATTGGCCCTGCTAATATATTCATTTGTGTGAAATTTCAATGCCACAGCTTTTACAGTTTCTGAGATATAGCCAAATAAATTTTGAAGTTGTATGGCAGCTGCCCGAACCGGTACCCCGATCATACCCAATTTAAATAGGGTTTTCGCATTTATTATAATAAATCATTTGTGAAAAGTTGGTGAGCTTAGATCAATTAGTTTTTGTGTTATGTTTGGGACGGACGTACAGACGGAAATATGTATGTGTATATTATATTATATCATGTATAATATGTGTATATAAGTATATACGTCTATATTATATGATATATATGATATATATATATATACATATATATATATATATATATATATATATGATATATATATATATACATATATATATATATATATATATATATATATATATATATATATATATGTATATATCTCGCACTTTTTAAAAATTTGGTGAACTGAGTTCAATTAGTTTTTGAGTTATCATTGGGACGGACGGACTGACGGACGGACAGACAGACTCAGAATTTAACGCTGATCAAAAACATACACTTGAGTCTATATCTAAGACCGTTATTTCTTAGCGTTACAAACGGTAAGGCAAATTTAGTATACCCTTCGAACATACGTTCGTACGGGTATGAAAAAGAAAATCAAAATTAAATCAAAATATTTTTTGGCACATTTAAAAAATTTTTTATTTTTTTTTGGTGACGAAAATATGAGAAAAAAATAAATTATTAGTCTTCAATAATGGGGCAAAAATTATTGCATAATTTAAATAAAACAATAAAAATTAAATGATATTTAGAAATACAGTAAGAGTAGGCTAATTAAAGATAAATTATTAAAAAATATATTTAAAAAATAAAATAATATTATTATAATATTCATAAGTATGATGTGAATAGCACATATTTTATCTTTAATTATCGAAAAAACGTTTCCTTCGTACAATTGAGTTTAACAGAACTTGAGACATAAAAGAGTACAGAAGCAGATGGATCAAAACAAACAATGATTTACAGACAGATAGACAGACAGACTTTTTCTAAAAATAGTTTTAATTATATATTCCCTGGAAACATAAATAATATAGTTTATATATTGTTAATTTAATGTCGCTAAAGCCGATATATATACGAAATATGTCTCCACCACATAATCTCCCTTATTGTATACAATGCAGTCATTTAAAAATATATGGTGTCATATTGCATAAATATAGACGATAAATTTTTTAATTCTGAATAGAATAAAATGTACTCAGCTTCATATGGAAAAAATTATTGATCATTCTTCTTAAATTATACTTATACAAAAATTTGCAGACAAAAGTCTGTGATTTGTTATTATTTTGCCAGTATATATGCACGTTATTTTAAATTTTTATAATTTGTTTCCTCCAAGAAGTATGGAGACGCATAATGCGGATTATATGTATACCAAATATAAACTTAATTTTGGATGATAATCCTTGGGTTTTTTTTTGGATCCATATCTTTCGTTTATTTTTTTTTTGGATTAATAAAAAATAAAAAAAACATAATAAAATTTTAATATTTAAATCTTTTTTTTTCAATCACACTTATTATGTTTACCAGTGTGTCGATGTACCGTGGCTGGGTTTGGCCACAAACAGAAACTTCAGGTATGTCAAAATAAAGTTCTTAAAAAAATGTTTTTAAATCTACCTTGATTTATAACTCAATTAAAGAAAATTAAAAAAAAAGTAAAGGCGAAAAGCATTTATGAAAATGTTTATGAAAACCTTGTATATTGTATAAGAACGTTTTCTAACCATATATATTAACTAATTGCAAAGTTGTAAATAAGCTATTTGTATATAAGGGCTATAGCGTAAGGTCATGATAAGCAATAACATTCGTAATTGTTTAGTTTTGCTTGCGTATCCTGAAAAATCAACTAGATCACCTTGGAAGTCTATGGAAGAGTTCTTACGGCATTTTCGTGATTTTCGACTTTCGATGGCGTATGAACTAATTTTGCACTCAGGCGACGATATTACGCTTTTTGTTATAAATATTTTAATTATACATTTTTTCCTATTTAATTTTATTTTTTATTTTTTTTTCAATTTTAGATGAAACAAGAATGCATAAATAAATATTTTTGGTTGTCGATGAAAACTGATATACAATTATAAAAAGAAGTATTTAATTAAAAAAAATAATTAATATTGTGAATACAAAATAAAAACAACACCGAAAATATTTAAAATTTATTTGTGTATAACAGTTAAAAAAAAAAAAATAAATAAAATAAATATACTTGAGAAAATATGGAAAAACAACAGTTAGATGCATTGCATAACAACGGGAGAAGATAAAAAATTTAATTTAATGTACGCATATTTAACGTTAATTTGATTTATTCAGCAATTTAAAATGTCTTACTGAATAAATCAGCTTAATGCTAGATCTGCATTTTAATAAATGCTCTACTATTCAATATTTATATAATATATATGTATATGTATGCTTATATTTTCAATTTACTGCAACATTAGGTTGACGTTTACGTCCATCTAATGAGTTGAACAACTATACTTAGAAATTTGAAAAGAAAGCTTTAATGTTATGTCACCTGAAAAATTAAGGTATTTTTTAATAAAAATTTTAAAATTTCAAGTTTTTTCAACTTTTGAAAATCATGTGATACCGAAATCTCTACAGATTATAAATGAAATGTAGATTATTTATGAGGATAGCCAATTATTTTTTGAGGTTTCTCAATCATATTAAATATAATGCGTTTATTTAGTAAAGGCCGTGGATTTATATTACTTACAATTTCCAAAAGTATATAAAAATCAGTCTAAATTGATTTTAAGTTACTGTAACTCGAATCTTGTTGAGCTGTAATCTCTATAAATAAAAGTTTTATCTACTAATATACGGGTCTGTATATTTTATTATTCTTATTACTATTTAATTTATTTCATAAATTTAAGAAACAATAAGTTTTAGCAACTTCAAGTTGAATAAACAAAATTCATTTAAACTTAAATTCACATAAAAAGAATATAAGCGTATTTCAAAACCAAAATTTGGAAATATTATATACGATGGTGGTATATGGCTGAATTCTTATAGATACGAGACAACCTTTTATATGAATAATATATGCCAAATTGTAAACATTTTCATGCTCTGATGTTCATACAGACGCATATTCATACATGTATATGTAGGGAAGATCTGTAACCTGTGGACAGTTGGAATTTTTTTGACTTTGTAATGATGTAACTTTGGTTAAGTTCTAATGATCATACGATCTAGATTTTTTATATTAGAATTTGAAAAATATTTTGAATAGGTTTCTCAAAATCGCAAATGCTAAAAAATAACTTTCACTTGTGCATATGTACGCATACACATACATATATTATATATATATATATATATATATATATATATATCTATAAAAACATATCTATATTATGTTTTGCAGATCATCATTCTTCTATAAAATAATGCACAACAAATCATGATAAAGAAACTTTTACCGAGAAAAAAACGAAGAAAAAAAATTCACATTTAAATTAATTATATAATATTATATATATATAAAGGATATATATGTATATATAGAAAGAGAAAAAAGAAACAAAAACAAAAGGAAAAAAAGTAATAAAAAGAAAAATAAACGAATAATAACACACACATTCTTTTATATTATATTGTTTGTATATATATATATATATATATATGTATAAATATACAATATATATATCTACATATATACATAAGTATATACCTCTCCAATGATAGTTTGGATAAAAAAGATTAAAATAATAAAATAAATTTGAAATTATTGTTCTATAAAATTGTTGTAATTATTGTAAAAAAATTTATTTAATAAAATAATTAAAACTTTTTTAATATTAAAAATCATTTTGTAAAATAAACAGTTATTATAATAAATATTGTTTATTTGATTTTATTGTTATTTTTGTTTTGTGATTGAATTTGTTTGTAATTAAAATTCTTTTGAATTCGCATTGCAATATCATTGTGTACGCGTGTAAGTGTGTATAATAATAACAAAGATAATAATAATAATAATAATAATAATAATTATAATAATAATAATAATAAGTTTATAACAGGAAAAATAAAAACAAAAAAAATCGAAAAAAAACAACATAAACAAAAGAAAATTTACTTTAAAATTTAAACCGGTAAAAGAAAATAAATCGTAAAATTAACTGTAAATAAAAACAAAACAAAAATTAATTTATAAAACAAAATTTAATTATTTTAAATTCGTATATATATATATATATATCAATATACCACCATTTAAAAAAATTACACACAAACATATACGAAAAGAGAAGATAATAAAATTTCGAAATTTTTTTTTTTCTGTTTATTTGGCCCACCATTTAATAAGAAAATGCCAATATAATGTCATTGCTTAATGTTACTGGTGAGTATGTTTAAAAAAATTTCTCAAATTTGTTTTTTATTATTATTATTATTATTCCTAGCCTTATCATGAGTTCCGCAATCCTATACCAATTCTACACGAACTACGAACTATAGGAAAATTATACTATTATACATATAACATAAAATTCGGAGTTCTATAATAATTTCGGAATCGTTAAATAAAATAAAATTTTTATTTTAGGTTTTTAAGCCAACCAAGAAAACATTTTAATATTTGTGGGAACATATTTTTTTTTAATTCTGATTTTTAATTCGATATCATTAAGTCTTGACTAGATTTTTTGTTGAAAACTTGACTAGATTTTTTGTTGAACATTCCTCTGCTTCAACACTTGCTGAAAGAATATACACAATCGATTATTGGAAAAAAATTTCTTAAACCTTAAAAACCATAAAACTTTTACCTGATATGCTTTATACAATATTCAACTGGCCTCATATATAAGATTATATATTAATATAATCTTATATATGATCATATAATCTTTATTGAAAAATATTTATCTATATATTTTTATTGATATTTAAGTAATCAACTTTCATACAAAAAGATATTTTGAGCACTTATGCTTATTACTTTCACTCTGTCCGTCCGTCCTCGGAAATTTTTACAAAACTTCTACACCATTGAAGATTGAAAGCTGAAATTTCATACGTACATAGACCTTTATTAGAAATTTATTTCCGAAGAAAATTTTTATCTACTCGTATCTCACCCCTACAATAATTTTTACCTAACTATGGTAGCAAAACCAGAAACATTTTTTTATTTCTGCAAACCCAGAAAAGTAAAGGCTGGTTTTTGATACCGTGTCATATTATATTTGAACTTTAAAAAAACAAAATGATATTTACGGTTACCATTCCGCGAAAAAAGGCCTAAAATTTTAATTATTTTTCTTAACTCTCGAAACTAATCCTCAAATTCGAGCATCATATTAAAACCCTTTAATTTTTTTTACCTCAAATTTATGTAACCTTTGAACTTTTTTCTTATGGGAATAAAAGTATTTTTAATACATAATGTAGTACACGGATTGTTTTTAAAAGCAATATTTTAATTTTTTGAAGGGAAAAGTGCTACATTACAAAGCATTAGTTTGACTTTATTTACCCAACTTTATTTATTTAATATTTATTATACTTTTGCAGTTAAAAGAGCAAAATATACCGGGAATCAAACAACCCAACTAAGTAGTTACGTTACTTTAAAACTACAAAACGTGAAATCAACGACAGTTGTTGTTAGAGGATCGGAACCGTGCTGGGAACAAGATTTTTTATTGTAAGTTTTCGAAAAAAAAAGTGAAATTTGCATTTTTATTTTATAATTGTTCCCTTTTTGTTTTGTTTTATTTTAAGTCATTTGCTAATTATTATGGAAAAAAAATTCTTGATAATCAAAAAAACAAAAAGTAAATAATAAGAGCAGAGCTCTAATCTGTCCTGTTTTTCCAAATATCCTACAATCTTAATCTAATAAAAATTTTTATTCAATTAAGATTGTAAGAAAATATTTTTTTTTTTAACATCTTGTTTTAATTTGCATAATTGAAAGAATTAGAAACTTCTATGTGTGATCATTAAGTAGTATAGTAATTATGTTAATCGCTAGTATATGGTTTTATATTTTCCTCAACATGAAATTTCAAAATTGCAGCAACATTGTATATAAATCAGTTTATAAGTTGTATTTACTGAATTTTAGTATAACTGTAAATTTTGAAGACATTGCTATGGTAATAATTGCTCGAATCCAGTATACCTGAATATAAAATTCAAAAATTTAGAGTTTAGACAATAAGTTTGATATGCGTTAAAAAGTATAAACTCAAATACAAATTTTAACAAAATTACGACCATCTGTAATTCGAGTATATACATATATAACAATGCATAGAATTTGCATTTGCATTTCTCTAACACAGCTATAGAGTGTATTTCTATATTGAAAACCTAATAACTTCTTTATCGTGTATAGTTATAATGTAGAAGGTGTAACTAGCACTAAATCAAATTAAAATTTAACATTCTATTTTTTTTGTATACTAGGGTATTTCCAAGATCTATTTACAAGTTTTTTTACCGAAAAAAAAAACATTTGATCACGCAAAGAGTTTTAGTTTTTTCTTTTAACAATTCTTTGGACTTTAAAATTACAAAATTAATATAATAATAATTCTAATTACTATACAGTTCCGTAATTACAATTCATAAGCTGAATTGTGTATTAGTAACAGCATTTACTGTAATTTTGAAGTCACGGATTATTTTTTTTGTTTTTTTTTCTTCAAAAATCCTATAACATAACATATCTAATATAAAATATTTCCTTAAAAGAATTTAATTTAATTCTTATAATATTATTCAAATTTTAAAATAAAACATAATTTTTTTTAAATTATTATTTTACAGTCGAACAGGCTTAATATCATCTAGAAAAATGTAGAAGAATTTATGATTTTAATCGAGTTGTGAATTTAAGCGATGATCGAATAAATTTCCATTATTTGAAATTAAACGAGCTTTTAAAATATATTTTCGCGTACTTACTTTGAAAATAGCTGAAAATGTTTTTAAATTACAATAATATTTAAACAAATAGAAAAAAGCAAAGGCATCTATTAATCTTAATTCATAGCTATTCCAACGGGTACATCCGAAAAAAAATGCGTTCACATTTAATAGTTTTGTAAAAAAAATTGCCGACAGATGTCGTAAATAAAAAGATTTGCATTTTTTGTTTAAAAAAGTAAGAATTGTTTCTCTCGATTTTTTCCATAATTTTTTTTGCCAACTTTTAATTTTGTGATTTTAAGCGAGAGAAATTAAATGAAATTAGACATTTTGATGTCGAGAATTACGTGATTTTAAGAGAGTTTCTATTAATATATTTATATATTAATAAATATATGGAGCTTTTGCTTGTCAAAAATGTTATGAATTTAACCGAGTTTGGATATAAAACAGGGTTGATATTAAGCGTGTTTGAATGTATATATACATACATTTTATTTATATTAAATATATTTTTTTTTAAATTAAATATTTATTTAATTTTATTAATAGCGAATATGTATTAGGATGTTAATTTTCTAAAAAAAAATTTGTAAAACTTATATATTTTATGACATTTAGTAAAAAATTAAAAAAATCTCGTAATTTTATTTAAACATTTTTGATTGATATAAATATATATATATATGTACTTATATATATATGTATATAAAATTATTTTCACGTAATATAATCTTTCATTTAAGAAACGAAATAAAATTTTTTTATAAATTGTATAATGCTCATTATTCAGTGATTCGTTTTTAATATCGTAAAATTGAAATATCACAAAATATCAATCATCTGTTTTTTTTTTTAAATTGTATGATCGTACTTATTAAATGCAATATTAATATTGTACTGTATATTGCTGTCTATATAATAATAATAATAATAATTGCAATAATAATAGTAATAATTTTGGGTGATCATTTAGAAGAAAAACGCATGATCCCTAATGCATAAATCAATTCATATTTTCATAAAATATCATAGCGAAATGATGATCTGGAAGTCCAAAGGGGGAACTGATTGCTTATTTATTTGATCAAAAAAAAATTTCTAAAAAAATTTACTTTTCAATGTAAGAAACTTAAAAAAATATATTATTACGATATTGGATTCAAATTGTTATAAATAAATAAAATTCATATCTACATATGTACGTTATATATACGTATATATATAACACTCATGTTGTATAATGTTTTATTCCATATTCACCACAATTTAATTCATTATATTTTCATAAATTAAATAGCTATTAACAATATATCTTAGTAAATAAATAGAGTATTAAAATTCAGTCCCCAGCAGCTAACATATACAGAGTGTGTCAGTAATTAATGACATAACATATTTCATCATTTAGGGCATCAAAAAATGAGTAAAATTTTGGTTACTATCATTGATTACTGAATCACCCTGTGTAAATATACATTTTCAATATTCAGCTTAAATAATATAAAACTCTAAATTGAATTTAAAAACATATTACTGAATTGAGGAAACATAAATGTATTTTATTGCCCTTTTAAATACTTTATATACTAAATATATATATACTAGAATTTGAAATTTATAGACTAGATTTCTTTTATAAAATTATCCATATGTACGTTTTTAGGAGGGTATATTACGTTATTGATAAAAAATTATGATGTAAAAATTAAAAATACGGATAATAATTTTTGTAGTTTCTTATGATAGAAATACAAATTTTCGTGTAATCCAAAAAAAAATATTGAACTAAACTTCGCGTGATTATTTTTTTTTTTTTTTATTTTTGTTTCCTTTAATTTTGTTATTTTTTTTGTTTTTTTTTTTTATTTTTATATAATATATATACATATGTGTATACAACGTTATATAAATATATAAATAGTGAAACCGATAATGTTAACAACAATGGGCTATTGGTTGAAGTTTGGACAAAAGGAATGATATGGGATCGTGCATTGGGTTATCAATTAATCAAATTAAATACGATACCAGTTCGTGGTGATGGTGGTGGATTACATACGACGAATTCATATAGTACTGAAAAATGGTATCCATTGGATACTGATGTTATAATGATGGATGGTGAAGTTACAGCAACAAAAAATCCAACTGGTCATATGCTATTACTAGATTGTCGCTTTGAATTGCCTTTCGGTAAAGATTACTAAAAACAAAAAAAAAAAATATTTCCTACTTTATTGTTTTTGTTTTTTTACTTGTTTTGTTCTTTTTTTTTTAATTCTTTTATTTTCTTCTACATATTTATTCTAAGTAATTATTATGTTTCTTTTTCTTTATGTTACAATTTATCTCCAAAACAAGTGTAATTTAATAAGAGAGGAAAATAAACAGTTAAAAATTATTTGAAAAACAAGTTTCTATGAAGAAAACATGAAGATTTCCGACTACTTACTTAAAATTTCTAATTCAATAAAATTTTTTTTTTTTTCTGCAGTATGTGTATATATTCGATTTTAAACCGTGAACAAAAAGATTCGGTAATACTCTGTGCTGCTACACAATTCAGAAATTACAATTCATAAGCGGAATTTTATATTAATGAAACAGAGAAACTATTAATTTCTCAGATTTCAAAATTAAAATAAATACGATATTATATAATCCATATGATTCAGTTTATGAGTTTCTATTACTAAATTGTGCTGAAATACAATTTCTTTCAGTAATTCTGACTTACTCATAACGGTTTACGTTCACCTATGAGTGGCTATAAATGCAATTCAATAATATGGTTATTTAAAGTATATATATTAAAATTATGAAATTGAATATACTTGAAATGAATTCAGCAATTTATATATTCTATAGCTGAATTAGAACAATTTTAGTATTATTTCATTAAACTGAAATTCAAAAAAAATTTGCTGAATAATAATATAAATAATAATTTATATTGTCATTTTTCTCAACATACCATATTAAAATACCATATAACTATAATTCCATTTTTTGTGTCTTTTTTAATTTTATTTATTTTAGCTATAATAATAGTATGTGTTATTTATTATTTTACTTTTACTGTTTATTATAAAGTATACCTATTTCTTTTTTTTTACTATTTATAAAATACAAATACCTATATTACATAACACATTCACGCTTAATATAAACATTTCATAAAATACATATAAATTAAATTGTATATTTAACTTAATTAAGTTTCTATACATAATTTGCTATACATATATTTTGTATTGCTTTAATTTTTTTTGTTCTGTTTTCAGTTTTCATAGCTTTGAAAATTCATTAATAGTATATTAATACACAATTCAGCAATTACAATTGACAAGCTGAATTGTGTATTAATATATAGTTTTACTTTATAATTAATTTTGAAATCTATATAGCATAATTATGAATAGAATTTTTGCTATACATATACATATATGTACATATATATATATATATATATATATATATATATATATATATATATATATATAAATTTCTTATTATAAAAATTTTTCGTTTATAAAAGTTTCGTTTATATATAACTAAAGAATTCAGCAATTCTTATGTATAAGCTGAATTGTGCAGTTATATATAATATCATTCTAATTTCACTGTTAAAATTAGGGCAAATATTTAAACGAAAATCAAATTATTGATTTATATATCGAATTACTAAATTGATTTTCATAAGATTTTCATAAATTTTATTAATAATTAATATGTATATAGAATTTTTCATTTCTTATAAGTTTTTTTTTCACAATAATTAAAATTCTTTTATATAGTTGTGCCCAAAATTATTTTAATAAATTTATTCACAAGTAAATTCAGATATAATTGCTAAATGTTGATGTTAAGTGGAATGTTTAGTTGCAATTTTGTAGTGATCAAGAATATAATTATATTGTCTATAATGAAAAAAAGTATTTTCAATATTTCAATCATATGAAAGTTAAATATTTTATATAAATACATTTCAGCTTATATAGATTGTAATTGCTGAATATAGCGCTATAATTGAGTTGTATGAAAATTTCATCTTACAACTGCAGAACAGATAATTGAAACAATCGAGTCAAGGTTAAAAAATTCAAAAACTTTTCTTCTCGAATTAGTGAGCTTACCGCCCTCTATCAAAAATCAGTTAAGCAGTTGGTACTTTGAATTTCGTACAATATCTGTGTCAACAAATACTGATTTTAATTTTTATAATTCAGCAATTCAATATAAGTTTAAAATTATATATATATATATATTGTATTTATAGAGAATGGATGTTGTTTCAATTAAAAAATTCTGACAAATTTGCAGTAATACCCGCATTAATAAGTATCAGGTATTTTTTTTTGTTTTACATATACATGTATGTATATGTAATCTACATATTCATACAAAATTCAGCTTAAGATAACTGATGAATTATGTATTTATTCCGTATTCCTGCAATGTGAAGTCAGACGCTAAATGTATTCGTAATTCAAATATTGTATTATATTCATTTTCATAATTGCATGGTGTATTCTTTTGTTTGAATATTTTATTTTTTGTAATAGTATTAAAATTCAAATTTCTAAAATATAGCGCAAATTTTTTAAATTGAATATTATTATATACCTGTACATATAAACAAATTATATATATATATTATATAAATGAATTAGAAGTAACACCGCTTTAAAAATCAATATACTAATAATATAAAACATCAAAAACATGAAGAAACCCTCTCCAAAACTATTACAATTTCAAGAAATATTTTTAAGTTATATAACAGAAAAAAAACCAAAAACAGCCCATTTCTTAAAAAAGAATTCTTAAAAAATTTTTTGTTTTTATATATTTAAAAAAAATAAATTTGTGTATGTATGTATAAAGTGACCATACTGAAAAAATATTTCCTATATGGAAGTTACCAAAATAAAACAAATCTGTTTCCAACACTAGTTTTATTCCCCATTAAGTATACAATTTTAATTTCTAAATAAATCAAATTGATATTTATTTTTTTGCTTCTTCACTCCTAGGAGGAGTATAGGGTTAGTGCATGATAGCATGCCCTAGTTTCATAGCGTCATAGAGTTAACAAGGTAGGTGACTAGCCTGCCAAATTTTGAAATTAAAAAATTATAATTACTTTAAGCTTAAAAAGCTTTGCATTTTTTTTAACAATATAATTTTTCATGATTTGGAAGTTGCTTTAAATTATAAATTTAATGTTAACATATAAAATGTTAACAGTATTACAAGAAGAAATTGCTTTTATATTTTTTTTTACATTCTCTTTTATGCCTAATTTTTTGCATTCCTTTAAGGTTTTATTCGTCAAAAATACTACTCATTAGAAGGTATAAATAAAGTATTCGTGACTTTAAAAAATTGCGATTAAATTGTTAAACAATTCAGCAATTAAAACTCATAAGCTGAATTGTGTATTAATTGTCCATATTCTTATTGTAATTTTGAAGCTAACAAATTATATAAATAAAAGAATGGTCATTTTATATGTACCTATATAAACTTTTATATATACATATACATATATATATATATATATATATATATATATATATATATATAAAAACAAAAAAAACAAATACCTATTATCCTTCGAAGATCCTGAAGGCACACCTGGAGATTTGCGGCGTAAACTTGAACTTCTAAATGGTGGTATTGTCCAACAAAATCAACAGCAAAGACAAGCCCAATATTTAGGAAACTGTAAGTAAATACGAAGTAAATTTATTTTTTTTTTTTTGATTATTATAGTGAACAAAGTTAATTGAGTTGAAGAAGAATTTTTCGTTTTATTTTTAACTCTTCAGAATTACGCAGCTTTCAAATTATAAACAATATATAGATAGACCCCAAACTTAAAATTATATGTGTTAGGATGTTACAATGTTTGATAAAAAATCTGGAGAATTCGTGAAGCATAAACTAAAAAAAAAAATTGCATACAAAATTTTTTTTTTTTTTTGTAAAAACCACAAAAGTCTCCGTGATTTCAAAATTTGCAAATAATACGCTATTAGAATACAATTCAGCAGATGAGTTGTAATTGCTGAATTGTTAGGTAATGCAGTGTAACTAAAATTTTGAAGTCACGGATTATCTCAATTTAGAATTTAACATAAAATCGCAAGCATAATCGGAATGTTTGGGTTTTGGTGTAAATATTTTATTTTTATATTCATTATTTTTCTTTAACAACTACAACGAATTTTGGTGTTTAAACTTAAAAAATAAAATTTTTTTTGTTGTCATATGAAATAATTGTCATGAGCTTATTTAGTTTTTGTTATTGTATCAAAACATTAACAACGATAACGCGTAATAAGTTGTAGGAACATTTCAAAATGTCAAAATTTTTTTTTTGTTTTTTTAATTTAAAAAAGATTCACTTCTTTGTCTGTATTAATGTGTTTTTTTTTGTCAAATTCATTCCGCAATCGCGTGGCAGACCTTTTATATATAAAATGTTAAATTGTTCTCAATCCGGTTTCAGGCTCCATAACTTCAAAGTTGCAGTAATATTATGTATTCATACATAACTCTGTGTAAAGAAATTTTGATATTTTTGAATTATATATCAATATCGTATTTACAGTAATTTTGAAGTCAGGGAGACATTAATGTGTTTCATTCACACACAATTTCAATTTCACCGTTAAATCACCATCCATATTATGGTAATCATTATCAACATTATGGTCACCATCCAATGAAATTATTAGTTCAATTTATTTCAAACTTTAAACTATGTTAAAGATGTCAGTATCATTATAGGACGAAGCAGTGAATCAATATAGCTTAAATATTGTGATATTTTTGCAATTTAATTAAAAAGTGTTTTTTATATACATAAATATATTGGCAGTGTTTTTCGTTTCAAGATATGTACCTTCTAAAATCTAAAATGTAATAATGCTGCACTGATACACAATTCAGGAATTAAAATTCTTAAGCTGAATTATGTATTTCAACGCCGTATCATTTCGATTTTGATGGTACTCCTATGTAAATATTTCTTTTTTTTTTGTAAAAATATGAAAGTGTTTCCAAAAGTAATCGCAACATTATGGCGCAATAAGCACTAAGAATACACTAATACATCAGTAATTACAAAAACACACACAATTTTTACAATAAGAAAATATAGTGATTTTTTTTTTGGACACATCCTATATACTTGTTACTTAAAAATCAATTCTGGCATTCGAATTCTAGCGCGAGCATTTAATAACACACATTATTACATTTGTAGTACACCGATTAAATCAGATTCAGTTATACAATGTGAATATTTGTATAACTTTATATGAAATATTTCAATTTGAATATCTATAGGATCAAATCATTTACACAATACCGAAATCCGCATTTTATTCAATTTAAATTGTGTGTAATAACTAACAATTATTACTCCAATTCTTTTGTTTGAATTTTTTGCCATATTGTTTTTTCTAACATACAGAAATTGCAGAAATATACTATATAAACAAGATCTAATATTGAATATTGATTTATTCAGCAATTATAATTTTAATTGCTGAATATGTCAGATTGATTTTAGGATTGCATTTCAGTTTTTTTCATATATAACTATAGAATTCAGTTTATGCATTCTAATAGCTGAATTGTATAGTAATAGAAATATAACTGTAATTTCGGATGTCATAGTAATTACTAACTCTACTTTTATTGTAATTTTTTGATTTTTGTCCTTTATAATATTTCATAAGAACATAATACACAAAAATACAAATTTATTTTTTAAAAATTTTTTCTAATTTGATGAATTTCGTTTTAAATTTTATTTTCAAAATTTAATACTGTAATTTAAAGATTTTATTTTTAAAAAACAATAAATTGGACAATTATTTTTCCTTAAGTTTGTCTTTTTTTATGGGTTCCCTCTATTTTTTTTGACTTTCTATTTTAAAAAAAAAAAACAAATTCGTTTCTATGTCTATATTTTTTTTAGTTACAATTTTAATAAAATTTTTGAAAATAAAATTATTAAGATTTTTATTATATTTTTTAACTAATTAAAAAATTAATGATTTCAAATAACATAAAAAAAAAATACTAATAATAAATATGAATTTCAGCGGGGTACTCTGAAGATAGCGATTACACATCAGATTTTAATTATCCAATTGGACAAGCAAATTCATCTGCAAGTCAATATCGAAATATATCGACACCGCATAGGTCATTAGAAACATCTAGAGAAAATTCATATGAAAAAGACGATCGATCATCCTATTACGATTGTTATTCTGATTCAAAGAATATGACGGTAAAATGTCAGAAATTAAAAAACTACTTATATTCACAACTCAATAAACACATTAATATACAACAATACAGCTTATGAGTTGTAATTGCTGGATTGTATATTAGTACCATATTATAATAATTTTGAATTCAAGGAGTATTTTATATAATTCAGCTTATAAATTGTAATTGCTGAATTGTGTATAATGATGGAATAATTAATTATTGCAATACCAAATATCAGAATTATTAATTTTTAATTTTTAAATCTTTTCCTTTTTGAATTTTTATATGTAGTGTTATTCACCACAAGAAATGTCTAGTTATAAAGAAGAAAATGATCCGCTGTTTTATAATAGTCGACCAATGAGTAATAATTATATATTGGGTAGTAGTAATAATCAAAATGGAACTAATATAAATATTAATAATGGTAGTAATATTAATAATAGTGGAAATATTCAACGTAAACGTAGTTTTGAACGTCAAACAACAATGTGTGATTATGACAATTATGATAATAGTTATTTTGATACAGATAATTATATAAATAATAGTTATAATGAAAATCAAAATGAAGAATTTTATGATACATTATCAGATAATATATCAGAAGATAGACAATGGGACAGCGGTGGACGTTGTACGTCAATGAATACAAAAGTATTACCAAAAATTCCAATTAAAAATAGTAATAGTATGATTGATAGTATAACAAATGTAACACGTGGTGCAACATTACCACAACCACCATATGGTACAACAACAATAACAAATAATGGGACATATACTGGTAGTGGTATTGGTAATATGGATCAGCAACAAGCATTTAAAAAAGCTAGAATATTACCACAACCTACTGCTGGTATTACTCCTATTACTACATCTGTTATACAACAACAACAACAATCTGATTTAATATATCAACAACAACAGCAACAATTACAACAACATCAACCTCGAATTTTACCTCAACCAAAAACAGCGAGTGGTCCTGGTACAATAATACCAACAATGCCAATTGGTGCAGCAATAACAACTGGTATAATTAATTATCAAGATAATTATTCAATAACAACAACTACAACAGCGCAACAACAACAACAATCTTATAATAATAAAATAACAAAAGTTCCACATAATACAAATTATAATGAAGATTATAACTATTTTTATACAAGTCAAGATAGCTTAAATTATTATAATGATAATAATTTAATGACGTCAACAACAACAGCTACAGGAAATATAACAACAGCAACAACAACAACAGCAGGACAAATTAGTGGAACTGGAAATGTTGCAAATGCAATTAGTAGAAAAAGTAAAACACTACCCTCAGTACCGGTACCAAAATTAGGCAAAACAAAATATTCTAGATCACTAGAAGGTAATGATAATGATGTTATAACAACGACAACGGCTAATAATGAGTATTATTATGAATCGTCATTAATTGATGCACCGACAACAAGAAAATCACATAAAAAGTTACCACAACCTGGTGTTAAAACTGATAACGGAAAGGTAAATTGTAATTTAAATATTTATTCCTTTAGAAAAATAGTTTTCCCTTAGAAAAAGAAATTTGAAAAAAGGTTCTTATTTCTTAATTAAAAAGTTCTTTAACATAATTAACGTTTCTTCCAAATTTGCTTTTTGGTCATTTTTTTTGGCAATATATTTTTGTATATGAATAAAAGTAATTTAAATTTGTAATCTAATAGGTTATTTTTAAAAGCAGTATTTTCACATTTTTAAGGGAAGCATGCTACTTTACACAACCATTTCTTTGACCCAACTTCATTTTAATTATAATTTTTTTTTTATTTTAATTAAATAATATTTTTTTCTTATAGGTTGAAAATGGTACATCTTCAAAATATTCTTCACCTATTCTTGGTACTGGTAGGACGGGTAGTAAATTACCGCAACCACCAACTTGCACTGCAACATCAAAATATCAAACGAATACAACAGCAATAACAACTACATCAGTAACAACAACACCAACAGATGAATTAACAAATAATAAAAAACAACAATCAAAAAATAATATTATAGATACAAAAATTAAAACTACAGAAACGGAAAATATAATATCTGAATTAACAACACCAAATAGTACAATAACAACAGCAACCACATCAGCAACAACAATAACAACAACAACAGGAACAAAAACAGAAACAAATCTATCTGATATAAAATCAACATTTAAAACTGATAGTTATTTAAATACTTTAGATAGATATAAAATAAATAATTATAGTAATGATGATAGTAGTAATAATTATGATGGTGATAATAAATTATTTAATGATAACAATGATATTATTAAAAAATCATTATTATTAGATATGATAAATACATCAACAATAACAGCAACAACAACAACAACATCATCATCATTAATAACAATAAATAATAAAAAATATTATGATGATTTTGATGAAGATGCCTATATGAATAAATGTAAAATGGATATTGAAGAAAAATATGGTATTAGAAAATATTTAGAATTAGACACTGAATATATTAAAACAAAAAATTTTAAATATGATAATAATATTATAAAATCAACATCGTTATATTTTAATGATAAGAATAATTTAATTAATTATAATGATAATAATTATGATGATAATAATGATTATGATAATAAATTTAAATTAGATAATGATAATTTTTCAATATTAAATAAATACAATGAAAAGAATTTAAATAAAAATATAATAACAACTTCAACAACATTAACAACAACATCAACAACAACAACAACAACATCTAATGATGATTATAATTATTTAATTGATAATATATTATGTAATTCTTATAATAAAAATTTAAAAAATTTGTTAAAAAATAATTATAATAATTATGATGATGATACTATTAAAAAATTAAATGATATAACAAATAAATATGATAAATATTTAAATGATAATTTTAAATATAAAGAATCAACGGATTCATTTTTAGAAGCAATTAAAGAATCGGAATCATTTTTAGATAAATATAAGTTAAAGAAAACAACATCATGCTTAAATGATGATAATAATAAAAAATATGATGTAATTGAAAATATAGATATTAATACAAATAATTTTAATAGTAAAACAATTAATTCAACAATATCAGATTATTTAGGTAAATTTATTTAATTAATTAAAATTTTAAACATAAATTATTTGAAATTCATTAGACAATACAACACCGCCATTTGATGCAAAAAAAAATATTCAAATAATTATAAATTTTGAAAAACAAATAGTCAAACCCGAGTAATTGAAGCCCGCCTAAATACAAAATCCGATTAAAAGTCTAGTCATTTTTAAGATTGGAAAAGGAAGTCGGATCGGCGGTATCATAACGGGCCTAAGTGGCCTAAGGTGTACCTTTCGGGAGGTTATGTCAACTTAATCTAAACTAACCTAACGTATTATAAAACAACGCCTTAGAATTTATGGCCTTAATTTCGATTACTACACTATTTTCTTTTTGAATGTTTCAATATAATTTTGCATCAAAGTGAAATTTTTAAATCATAATTACATTTATACATTTACTCGTATACATTATATACATTATGTACATTATACGATAAACCTTAAAAATATTTAATGAAATAATTAATCTTTCTTAAATTCAAGAAATTTTTAAACTCTCTAACAAGAATAGAGTCAGTCCTCTATATTTGAAATTTATAAACATCAAAACAGGTATTAACAATTTTTCATGTTCCGCCAATTTATAACTTTATATATACCTAGGTCCTCGATTTACGTCCTAGATGCGTTCCAAAATTTGGGGTCGTGAAATATGTAAAAACGGAAAATAAAATCGAAAGATTCAATAAACAAAAAAAATAATTACATTCTGCTTCACAGTTAAAATAGAATAATTACATAATAATTCATTGAAACTCAAAATTTATCGAAATAAGAAACAAATAAAAAATTAAAAAAAAGGCGTTTAACAAAATATTTTAGAAGTAAACAAAAAAAGTCGTTAAAACAAACGTCGTAAACCGGGGCTCTATCGTACTATAAATGGTAAATTTTAAGAAGATATTTGAATTGATATTTAATTAAATTAGTACAAGCATGTATAATAAAAAATTAAATTTAACCTGTTCTTGAACTATGTGTATTGTTACATCCATGATGGTTTTTAAATTTAAATGTTTTATTTTTTGCATTTTTTTCTTAAATTTTCTTTTCAATTTTCTAATTTATTTTCATTATATATTAATTAATTTATTTTTGAAATTAGAGTAAATTTACCTGAAATGATGGATCACTTTCGAGGGATATATTATTATTATTGACTCAAAGGATTAATACATGCATCCAAACATGCTTCCAAACAATTAAATATATATTTAATAAAATATAGTAAAATATCATAATATTCTGGCAATTCTGAAACGAATCTTTAATTTTTTGCGAAAAAAACGAGAACGTTCTAAATATTTCATTGACATATTTTTGTTAACATTTTGTTAGAGTATTTTCATAACTTATTTTGATTTTTTATTTTTCTCATACAAATTTTATTTGTAAATATATTTCTTTTTATTTCTATTTATTTTTCTATTTTTCAAATTTTTGTTTTAATGAATATATATAGGCAAAGAAAAAGAAACAAATATAGAGAATAAAGAATCTATAATATCTACTTTCTCTACTTATGATAAATTTAATTTAAATAACAATTCTGAAAAAATTTCTATATTAGACAAATATAAGGATACGACTTTTGGTACAAATAAAGAAACATTAGATACAGATACAGTTGATGATAAAGAGTTAGAAAAAACAATAACAACCACAACTACTACCACAACTACAACCACAATTATAACTACAATTACAACCACAACTACAACAACCACAACAGATAAAATAACCTCAAAAATAAAATTAGAAGATAATAAAAATTCTGATAATATAATTACAGATAAATATGACGATGCTCTTAGTACAATAAATTTTGATAAGAATACATACAACACTAATAATAGTAATATAAGTAATATTAGTAATAACTATAAAACAACAATAATAGATGCGGCAACAACAACCACAGCAACAACAGCAATATCAACAAATAGTATTCTTAGTAAATATGCTGATTTATTACCAAAGTCAATAGAATCATCAATATCGTCTACAACAACTCCATCGTCAATATCATCAACATTATCATTAACAAAAACAATAACAATAGCAACAACAGGTACAACAATGCCAACAAAAACTTTAGAAGCAATATCAAAAGGAACAATAGGTATAATAACAACAACAACAACACCACCATCGCAAATAACATCGGTATCATTTAATAAATATGACATTAAAAATGATATTGATAAAAAATCTGTTATTGATGTTACAACAACAACAACAAATAATGATATTAAATTATCAAAATCATTATTAACTGATTCAATATCAGATAAATCAACAGCAACAACAACAACAGGAACCAATAATATTATATCAGTTGCCGCAACAAAAGCAACAACCGATAATAATAATAAAACATTTGGTACAATTAATAAATCAGCTGCAATTTTAGATGAGACTGCATCATTTTTAGCTAAATATAATTTATCAATAACATCAACATCGACAATATCACCAGTAACAACTACAATAACAAAAACATTATCTAATACAACAGATATTAATAAAACAGATTTATCAAATATAATATCAACAACATCTTCGATACCAATTACAACAGATTATAAAACATTCATAACATCATCTGGTTTAACGAAAGATTCTCAATTTCTTACTGATACAATTAATAAAAATTATGATATACAAAAAATTATTGGAACATCAGGATCAGTAATAACTACATTATCATCATCATCTACTGATACTACTGATAAATCAGTTATTATATTACCAACACCGATTACAACAATAACGACAACAATGCCCGATACAAAATCAACAATAGAAAGAACTGCAACAACATCAATAATTGATACATTATTAAATAATACAAATATTTCTGATAGTTTGTCAACGACCACTGAAACAACAACATCATCTGATTATAAATCATATAAAGATTATCTAAGTAAAACACAAAGTATATTAAATTCAACACAATCAAAAATACAAACATCTCATACAAAAAAAGATGATAGTAGTTTTTATGACAAATACGATGATCCTTATAGTAATCAATTAAGTGATAGCGGTAATAAATTAGTGGATATTAAATCGACAATAACAATAGCTTCAATACCTGATGATGTAAAAACCACGCAGACAACTACGCAACAATCAATATTTACTACTACGACACCCATGGTTGTTACTGGTAAGTCTTTTTTTGTATTTTTATTATTACTACTAATATTTTTATTATTATTATTATTGTTATTATTATTACTATTATTATTATTAATGTTATTATAATTATATTACTTATTTTTGAAGGGGATCATTTTAAACCTACTAAAACTGATATTACGCCATCGGTAGCATTAGAGCAACAAAAAAATTTAACAGTTAGTTCTGAAAGTGTAATGCCTTCAACTTCACCCTCATCATTTTTGAGTAATTTAACAGGGATACAATCAATAGTGACACCAGCATCAACACCACAACAACAAACTAAAGTGCCTATTACAACTGCTCAACAGCAACAACAACAACAGCAGCTGCAACAAAAGCAGTTGCAACAGCAACAACAACAACAGCAACAACCATCATTCCCTTCGATAAAACCGGGTAAAATGTTTGGTTCTTTAACATCAGGTTTAAAAGGTGTTGTTGGTGGAGTTGCTAATCAAGTAACAAGTCAAGTACAACAGCAACAACAACAACAACAGCAACAACAACAACAACAGCAGCAACTTCAGCAGCAAAAATTACAACAGCAACAACAGCAACAACAACAAAAACAACAATCGCAACCGTTTGCTGCTGTAAAAGGTTTTGGTTTTGGTTTAGCATCAAAATTGAAAGTGCCAACATTGGGTGGTGGTGGAACTAATCAGCAACAAAAACCACAACCACAACCACAACCTCAAGAACAAGCTTCTATTAAAACTGCTGTTACAACACAACAATTACAACAACAACAAAATCAATTATTTAGTAGCAATAGTGGAGTACCTATAAAAACAACTGTACCAGCAACAACTGCATATTCAACCGTACCTATAACATCTGACAATTTAAATAATCAATTAAATTATTATGCCGCTGTTACAACATCTACTGATATTGTAACAACGTCGGCACAAAGTTCTATTGATAACAACAATTTAATAAAACAAGAACAACAGCAGCAACAACAACAACCAAAAATTGAAAATTTACAAATTTCTGAAATGGTTTACGATGAAAATGGTGAGTTAATTATAATTTCAACGACAGGTGAACAATTTTATTATGACATATATGGTCGTCTAGTTCCAAAAACAACTTCAGTTACAACATCAGCATCAACTGTAACAACATCAATTGATGCCGTTTATGAACAACAACCTCAACCAATGCATATTGATACTGTTGCACCAATATCAACAATAGCACCAACTACCACTATTATTTCTACAACAACTACAACAGGTAAAGTTGTTGATTATCGTTCTTACGGTTATGAGGAAGATAATTACAGCGAAGATGATTATATCGCAACTGGCGATATAATATCTGACTATCAACAAAATTATATTAATTATAATAACAATTTATTATTAGCTGCTACAATGGCAGATTCGACAAGTACGTTGGGCTATGATCAACAACAACAACAACAACAGCAACAACAACAACAGCAGTTACAACAGCAAAAAGTAGCACCAGCTGTAACAACTGCTGTCACATTAATTGGTTCACAACAACCAATTAATTCTGTACAAGTTGTTACAGCTTCGAAACCTTTGCCAGTAACTACAGCACCACCAGTAGTTACAACATCTCAAACGAAACCACCTCAACAAGCTCCTAGCAGTGGTGGTGGTGGGCTTTTTGGATCATTTTTATCTAAAGCTAAAGATGCAGCTGCTATTGCGGCACAGGCTTCGTCTGCTTTAACAGCAACTGTAACTACCACAGCTCAAAAATCTGAAAGTAAAATTGTCAACGTAACTACTACTACCACTACAGGTAAATAGTTTTTATTGTAATGTAATTGATAAAATAGAAAATAACAAGAAATATATTTGAAGGAGCTAAAACAAGTGGCGGTGGTTTTATGAATACACTTGGTGGTGGATTTATGAAAGCTTTATCTTCTTCACCAATATCAACTTTAACTGAAAAGACTGGATTAACTGCACAAGAACCAAATCAACAACAAAAACTGCAACAACAACAGCAATCTGAACAATTAAACGATACTAAACTGATACAAAATAATTATGATGCAACAGTAACAACAGCTGCAACAACGGTATCAACAACAGCATCAAATGATAAATATGCTCATGATGATGTTTATAGTCAAGCTGGGGATAGCAATTATTATACGGACCAATCACAGCAACCTCAAAAGCTTTTACCACAAGTACCACCAACAACAGGGGGTAAGAAATTACCACAAATAAATGGTAAAAGTAGTTTGTTGATGAAACAACAACCAACTGAAATTGATGATGAATATGTTGATGATTTGATTCATGACAATAATATCATTATTAGTGACGATGAATTTTATGATGATGATGATTATTTTGATGATGAAAATGATGTATATTATATGGATCAACAACATCAATTACAACAATATAATATATATAATAAAACAGCAAATAATCATAGTAATAATATTAATAATAATATAAATAATAATCAGCGTCATCATCAAAAATATTTCGATCATAACATAAATAGTAATAGTAGTAATAGCACCATGCATCATGCTTCATCCATTCAGTTCAATAATTCACAACAACATCTCCTTCAACAACATTATCATCATCCAGTTCATCATCATCATCAACCAGTTGTTCAACCGAATCAATTAACAGCAGTTGGTAATGATTATTTACATCAACAACATCATGATTTTATGTCTATAAATGATCCATATTATGATTATCGTAATGATTATTTCAATGAAGAAGATGAATATAAATATCTTAAAGAACAAGAAGCACAACTTGAACAACAGCAACAACAACAACAGCAACAACAAAAATCTAATAAAGAGCAATTATTACAACAACATCAAAAACAGCCACCTTTAGAATTTATTGAAGAGAGTCATGATGATTACATTGATGATCCAACATTAAAGGATTCAAATTTGAAACAGCAGCAGCAATTAGGTAAAATTTATTTACGATTTTAATATTATATAAATTTCTATTACGATCAGTCCCATAGCTTTTATGGGGCTGATCTTTTTTAAAATATATGTCATGAATCGTCTCGCTCTTTAATTTTACTTAAATATTGATCTTTGATTAAGCTCCGTAATTATCATAAAATAATTTTTTTTATTTCACATTCTATTATTATTCAAGGTGTTCATAAAAATAACAAACAACTTCATTCATTAAAAACACAAGAAACTATTGATGAGACATCAGATCTACTTGTCAATGAGCAAAAACAAAAAGATCAACAATTAAAACAAAATTTACGTAAACAATCTAGTGTTGTTCTTGAAGAAGAAGATGAAGAAGCTATTGAAGATGATATAGAAGAGGAAGATGAAGGTGGAATTATTGATGAATCATTAATGAGTCCATCAGAAATTTATGAACAAGATGATAAATTATCAGCATTACAATCAACAGTTAATAGTAAACGTGGTTCAGCACAATCATCTGATTTATTGCAATCATCTACAATAATAAATACAAGTAGTGATAGTAATAAAATTTCTGCTGCTGTAGCTAGTGCCACTGCATCTGGTATAACACAAACTGGTACAACACTAACAACAATGACAGCAGCTGGTGTTGCAGCCGCAGCTGCTATAACAGCTGATATCATTATTGATGGTGAAGATTTACCAATGCAAAAGAAGAAAATTTTACATCGTGGTGAAACAGAAGAAGTTGTAAGCGGCCAAATGACAATACGTAAACCAGAAGTTACTGCTAGACAAAGATGGCACTGGGCTTATAATAAAATTATCATGCAACTAAACGTAAGTACAAAAATTTTTTTATTAGTTTTATATATTTTAAAAACATATTTCAAAATAATGTTATTATTATAAACAAAGATATTGATCGTCATATTTTTTTTTGTAAGTAAAATATAATTAAAAATATTCTTATTTTCACTTAATGAAAAATTATATTTATATGTATATATTAAATTTAATATTACGAAATTAGAGATGATTAGATGCTTATAGTCATCCATATCATTTGTTACAATAGTGTCTTTAAATCTTTCCTTAAGAATATTTACTTACTAGCTATACAAAAACCTACACAATATTTATATTCTGTATATTAAATAATATATCAAGGCAGTCTGCGCAACTTTTATGTACAAGCCGTCAGGGGCGCGTATGATTTATGCGAAGCTTTCTCAGTGCTGGGGAGTTCAAGTCCAACTCCCTGAGGCATATTTTCTCGTATTTACTTTGGAGTGGGATATAAGAGGGCTACAAAAATTAATGACTGGCTCGGTTGTTCGGAGGAGAGGAGCTCCTTTATCTAAATCTCTCTTCAGAGATTACTGAAATTACTGAGATTAGTAATCTACAATGCTATATTTAGCATATTAAATAATTATTAAAAATATTAAATTAAATTTTGTGAGATGAACAAGTTGTTTTTAAAATATTTGAATACTTAAAAATGTAATGTATAAAGAAAACATTTATTTCAAATGACTAATGTTTATTTACACCATATTTTTAATGTTATCTTCGCTACTGTCGTCTTCATCATCTCCCTCCCGCCGTTTTGGATGGTTTAATATCGTAAAAAATTTTAAAAAGAATAGAAAAATATTGTTATTTGTTTTTTTCTTTTTTATTGTTTTCTTTTGTTTTTTAGTTTAATTTTGTAATACATATAAAGAAAAAACCAGTGCGGGTGCCCTGTGGTGTCTTCTTAATTACTTGACTAAGTGAATTTCATTGTCCTTTTTTTTCATATTACTGTTTTGTATTCCTGTTGTTTTTTATAATTTAACTAATACAGGATGTTTCACATAAGCTGGCAAATAATTTCAGGAATGATTCTTTAATCAATTTTGAACAAAAAATTGTATGGGGGCCCGTTGTAAAAAAAAAAGATACCAGGTTTTTCCTGCTTATAAATAAACGACTATAACTTCGGCACCATGCGACATAGAGTAACCAACGTGGACTTGTGTTATTGACGATTGATTGCTCTTTATTTTCGGTGTGATAATCAATTTGATCTGATCTATAGTTTTTAAAGTAAAGCTCGTCAAAGCCAGGATTTTTGTTTTTTTTTATTTTTTTTTAAACTCGAAGTTTCTCGAAAACTTTGGTTAATATTTTTTTTTTTGTTTTTTTCGATGCGCTACAATGAGGTATAAAAGTGAATCAATTTAACATTTTTCTCATAGTATTGACAGTAAAACTTGTTAAATGTTTTTAAAGAACATGCGAAAAATGCATATTTAATACAAGCCCAACATACACTAAATAATTTTTTAGTTTAGTATGTATAAAAAGGGAATGTATCAACATTATGCGAAATACCCTGTATAATTTACTTGTAGCATATAAATTATATAACAAAATAAAATTATTGTCGATTATTTATTAAATTGAATAGGAATACCAATTGATTACTATCGTAGAGCTATTATTAATATATAATCAAAATATTTAGCTTCATCAATGAAAAAATGGGTACGAGTATAACCCTGAAAATAGAAATTCAACTTTTAAAATGATTATTTGCTGAATTGTATTCATAAAGTATTAGAATTTGTATACATAGGATATCTAAAATTTAACAGCACTCTCGCAGTAGAATGATATAGACTGATTCCAGACGCACAAGAAACACATGCTGATATTTTGCTTTTTTGGCCGTCCTTCTCGATTTATGAGGTCTACAATGTTTGAATTTCTGAAAACTATCTAAATTTTACTGATGACTCGGAAAATATAACAGGTGAAGTCGATATTGTATAATCACAAAATATGAATAAAGTTGAATTGCTGATTTCTATATTAATATCATATTTTACTGCAATTTCGAAATCAAGTATATTGAATAATTTCGATTTTTTTTCTTTGCTACTACATATATTGTAGTAGCAAATACACATCGATTAATTTATATAGTTTTTTAATTACATCTGGTAACCTTTATTAGAAAATTTTCAAATTGATATTGAACTGCTATGTTTTAAATTTTTTTTTGATTTCAATTTCAGTTTTTCTAATATAATTGTTGAAAATTCAAGTACCTACATACAACCCATAAAATAAATTTTGGGAAAATTGAAAATTAAAATAATAATAAAAAAAAAATATATATATATATATAAATAGTTTTTTTTTTACAATTTATTAAAACTAATTACAGTGGTCTAAATAAATATTTTTTTACTATAGTATTTTTAAAATACATTTGAAATTATAAAAATAAAATTTATGTACGAAGTTACTTTCAAAAATTTATTGTAAATTTACACGAACTTTACATTAATCCCCACGAATATAATTCTATTTATAATTTCTTACATATTAATGGGATATTAAAGAATGCACACTGAGAGAAAAAAAAATGTAACAATGTTAAAATCCTCTTTTACTTCCTCTTTGGATGGAAAAGATCTGAACCAAAATCTTTCTAATTTCAAAATCTCTAACACTAATACTAAGCCATGCCAGGATATTAAGTAAATTTCATTAGGTACTAATACGTAAAGCATTAAAAAAGGTTTTAAATTCAAATCAAAGAATTTTTTTTTATGCAGCTTCGGCAACACTAGGCAACATAATTTAAATTTTTTTTATCATTTGACAATGATAATTAAAAAAAGTTTTTTTAACCTTTTATTGATATGCAAATTTTTCGTTTGTTCTTAAAAATAAAACCTTTAATTATACGAAAACGATAAGTTGATTAATTATTGTTATAAAAAAAATGTATATATAATAGGCAAAATTTCATGGCCACACTTAATTAAAATACAAAAAGTTTACTTAAAATTTATGTGAAAACTGTTTAAAACTTTACTTTTGTTATGACAATAGTGCACCCGTACCATATATTTATGTTTATAAATGTGTTAATACTGAAATTAAAAAAATTTTTTTGGTTCCATTTAAGTGTACTACGTACTAAAGAGTAGCCAAAATTGAGCAAAATAACACAATCAAAAAAAATGTGACATATAAGACTTTGACAATTATTATTTTACACGTTTTAGGCAAGCATTTTTTTTTTCATATAGATTATTTTATTTTTTGGGTATATTCGAAATCTTTTGTTTGTGTCGACTATTTATGCCATCGATTACAAGTTGGGAAAACAATTATTGAATTTCCAATTGACAGATGGATACTCTGGGCCAATTTTATTGTCTATTATATACTATTTCAATTTCTCAAACATAGTCACAGTTGATATTTATACATACATACACATATAAATATATTTAAAAAAGAAAATTAACAATTATTGTTTTATTATTGTTAGAGCAAATGTCAAAAATTAATTTAATAATTTGACATCTTCTTTGTTTATATTTGATATTTTATAATTTATGTACACGCCTTTATTACGGTTAAATATTGTTGTAACTACAACAAAAAAAAAAACAGTTTTTAATTTTCAAAACCTTACATCAAAATTTCAATAATACTGTATTAAAACAACTTTGTACTACATTTTTGAAATTAAAGAATTTTATTTAAAAATATCAATGATTTTTATTATATTAAAAAAAATGTTTATTGTTATAATTTGAATAAAATGGCAACAAAAACATTTTATTTACTTAAATCTACATATATAATAAAATTTAGATAACATAAATAACACACTGAGAGAAATGATCGTAAGATCAGTCGATCAATATTAAAAACAAATTAATTTGAATTAAATTTAAATAGAACAATTTAAAAATTAAGTATATAATTTGAGTTTAATTTTTATCGTTTCAACGCCCTTACGTTGAAAGTTAATAAAAAAACATAGGAGCGTCTACCCAAAATGCAGATCTAACATCAACATGATTTATTCAGCAATTAATATATTGCTATAATTACTGCGAATAAGTCAATTTGACGTTTACTTTACATTTTGGTGTAGGATACTCGTACTTTTTTATAATTTTACTCGTATTTCAAATTTTGCAAAATAATTTTATTTTAAATTTTTTTTTCTCAGTGATTGTATCCTTCGAAATTATTACTTAATATGTTCGCGAAAACTTAATTATTATATAATCTGAGTATATTTTCTGTGATAAAATTTTACAATGTGAGTAAAACACCGAATATTTAATATATACATACCACATATTCATATATATTTATATATATACATACTTATTTTATATGATTATATTACGTGTGTACATAATGTATAAAATAAATAAATTTAATTATATGTTATTTCTACTGATAAAAATTTAATTTGGTTTTAATTTAATTGTCATTTCCTTAATTTTATTTTATATTCTTGTATTTAATTATATACATATATTACCTCCTGCTTTTAGTTTATCATATATATATGAGAATGTATTTTGAATATTCTAACTAAGTGTTCCTGTACTATTGATCACAATTAATAAGTAGAAAATCCACAACATGTAAATGTTGGTAACGGATATGGGGATTTTCGATGATTCAGAGATGACACTAAAAACGTTCAAAATTAAATCATAAAGTTTGTTCACACTGTGTGTACTTACAAATCTGCCGAAATTTACTATTTTATTTTTGCAGATTCTAACATTTACTTTTCGAGTGTGTTTTATGTTTATTTATTAATTTATTTAGAACTCACCCAGATTGTCTTCTAATTATTATTTATTTACATATATTACTTCTAATTATTTGTAACAATTTAAATATTAATTAAATTGTGGAAAATATTGCACATTTCCCAGTTTTGACTTATGAAACATGATTTGTTATAAGACCGTAACTAGAACTAAATTAACAAAAATCTCCTACATTTTTTTTGATAATGTTAGTTTATTTGAGAAATTCTAATTTTGAGTCGGAAATCGGAAAATTATAACTTAATTTCATGTTCATTAGTGTTTTTCGAAACACGAAGTCAGAATTGATGCAAGATAACCATGAATATATAAATTAAGAGATTTCATAAATACTAAAAAAAAATAGCATAAAATTCTCAAATCCCGTGATCTTGTCGGAAAATTAGAAATACAGGCTAGAAAGAAAGCACAAAATTAATTTCTTACCTAAAACCCATTATTTTATAAGATAGAAATTAGAAGGTATAATAAATTTGGAAATTTTATCCGGGCATATTCGGTTTTTGTTTTTTTAAATCAGCACTTACAAAAGCTGTTTTCGAATTTATCACACACTAGTTTATTGACCTATTTTTGACACACCGAAAACTCCGAAGTTTTCGTGGCTTTTCCGGGTCATATGACAGTGTTTTTGCAGTAAATTATGAGATGATAAACTTAACAATAATAGAATGTAACATCTTGTGAAATAAATTTTAATTTTGCCCGTATATTTTATTGAAGCGTGTATATAAATTGAATATAAGTACATAGGTATATAATTTATTACCATTAAATATATACCTAGGTACATAGTATACATAATATAATTGTTGATCGCGTTGAGTTGTTTTTATTGAACCTTAAATGGAATAAAGAAGTGTAGCATAATCGTGTTGCAATGCATGATTGCATTTAAAAATTAATTGTTGTTATACGATTCAGCAATTAAAACCTTTAAGCTGAATTGTGAATTAATAGCTGTATGTTGCTGCAATTTTGAACTTAAGATTTTAGTTTGTTGATTTTTTTTTTTGATTATATTTAGTTACAAAGGATAATTGAAGCGGCTTAATACAACAATATTTTGTTTTTAAATATTAAAAAATTTAAAAATGCAAAAGCTTTTATATCGTTGTGCCACAAATTCATTTGAATTTTTATTTGAAAATAAATCAAATAGTAATTTAAATTTATTAAATAATAAGGATAATAAAAATAATCTTAATAATAAAGATTGTAATCATGATAATAAAGAAGAGGATGATGATGATGATAATGAAAATGATGATAATGGTGATAATAATATTAATAATGTTGATTTTACTAAGGATATTGATAATGATGTTATTATTAATAATATTAATATAATTTATGATAATAATAAAAATAAGAAATTTAATAAAATAACATCAGCTGAACGTACACGAAGATTTAGTATACTGTTACAGAATCCAAAATGCATTTATGTAAGTGTAATCATAAATTTAGTATAAAAATTCTTATATTATTAACGAATTAAAATATTTCCCGTCAACCCGAAATAATTCTGTCGTATCTTACAAAATAAATAAAAAAAAAATTCATAGTTTTTCTTATATGGGTGTAAATACGCCATCCATATGGCAGAGGAATATAAGGAAGATAATTTTGCCGCAAATTTTTTCACATATGTATATTTTGCTTTCACATATTTTCATTATTTTGTAAGAGACGACAGTATAATTTCGGTCGACAGTATATGTACTTATATAATGCTAAGGAATATTTTCATTACATTCTGAAACAAAAAAAAACCTGATGTGGTCAGCACATAACCTACTGCAATATGTATTGTCTAGTTAAATGAAAGTGTTACAGAATATTATAAAAATGCCTGTAAATACTTTGTTCCAATTTTTAGGGCATTAGTAAGCTTATAGTTAACATACCTAGAAAAATGTAAATTTGGCTCTTAGTAGAGTTTCGCTTTGTGTCACTCGAATTCAGTGAAATGCTCGTCAGTTAGTTTCGGTAACTCAAATATCAAATTTCAAGAAATTCCGTCAATTCGTTCCGTAGATATGGAAAAATTAGGTGGTTTCGCGAGCGGTCGAGCAAAGGCTTATATATGAAATTTCAAGTAAAATTGTTGAATATTTTTTCATAATGATAACCGCTAAAAAGTGCAGTTTCCGAGGCCTGACATATCCCAAAAGTTGATCAATCTGTGCTATAGTCGAAATAGACTTACATATAAAATTTCATCAAAATCGGTTCAGCCGAACTTGAGATACAGGCGTGCACACACAGACAGACAGACCGAAAGGTTTCTAAAAATAGTTTTTCATTTGACCCACCGAATAGTTTTTTTATCCCACGGAAAACTCAATACGCAAAATTTGCTCCCATCACATAATCTACTATTTGTTTATTGTAGTAAAGAAAATACTACAATAAATTTTTGAAAAATTTTGGCTTTTGGTGTATAAAATCAGATGTCCACACATTCAATACTCTCAAATTGTTTTTAGCTTAATATCAGATGCATAAAAAGATTTTAACAATTTTATAGAAACATAGTAGAATGAAAACCCATTATTTGCACATTTTAAAAAAATTAAGCTAATGATGAGGAGTTATTTCTCTTGTGAAAATACACATTTTCTTTTAATAGACGTGTTGCCAAAATCCTTTATTTCACCAAAAAATCATAGTAGAATCAAAATCCTACATTTGTATATAATTAAATGAGTCAAAACCCTTTATTTACAACACAAAAAGATTTATTTTTTTTTGTAACAAAATTCTATGTTTGTAGCATTCAAAATACGTTATTTGCACATTTAAAGTTTGACATAATTATATTGTTGTCATGAAACATTGTATAAATTGGCGGAATTCAAATATCTGTAAGGCATATGACAGTACGTAATATATTCCCAAGTCACTTTATAGCTTTAGCAAATTAATAAAATGACTCTTCAATAACTTTCAAATTTTTAGTCTATTTCTAGCTTTAGGATATTTCTAGCTTTTACAAAAATATATCTTGCACATAGCAGGATAAATTAAAATTAATAACATAATATTTCGATAACTAAAAAAAGTTCGGTATTTTTATGTTTATATAAATGTTTTGAATCAATTGTGGAACATTAAAATTAACTCATAATTGTTTATGAAATTGAAACCTAAAGAGATCGTAGATTGATGCTTAATATAAAAAGGTATAGAAAAATTCAGCTGAAACAAATTCAGGAAAAAATAATTTGATTTTATTCACCAAATCAAATAACGCTGCTTTAGCAATGAATTTGCAAATGATTCTTCTCTATTTTAATACTCTGGAACTAGCTGACCCGGAAGCAAAACAGTAGACTTAAAAAACTTACAAAATTATATTTTATGTTTATATAAATGTTTTGAATCAATTGTGGAACATTAAAATTAACTCATAATTGTTTATGAAATTGAAACCTAAAGAGATCGTAGATTGATGCTTAATATAAAAAGGTATAGAAAAATTCAGCTGAAACAAATTCAGGAAAAAATAATTTGATTTTATTCACCAAATCAAATAACGCTGCTTTAGCAATGAATTTGCAAATGATTCTTCTCTATTTTAATACTCTGGAACTAGCTGACCCGGAAGCAAAACAGTAGACTTAAAAAACTTACAAAATTATAATATTTTTCATGTAATGTAAAGAACTTTTAAATTTGTAACAGATCAGATTATAACAGAACAGAGTTTTACAACAGATATATAATTATTTATAAAACAACTATTAACCAAATGAAGTTATGGTGACATTTTAAATAATTAGAAAAATATTAACTTTAATAAATGGAGATTTCAATTCTAATCTGTTACAAAAACTATAGAAACAAAAACTATCATTTGCAACTTTTGTTGCAACAAAAATTATCACTTGCATATAGTTGCAACAGAATTCCACATTTGCATTCTTAAATTACGTTTTTTATTTAAAATGACTTCTTTATCTTTAATATTCCTTTACAAAAAGGTTTAAGATCATTTTTTCGCAAATATAAATGGTATAATTCGATATATGAGTGTTGAATTACTCACAAAGCGTTTTACCTATTTTACACAAAAATTATTAATTTGTAAATATATGGGGTTTGATTCTACTATCATCATTTATTTTTTTTCAGAAATGTATTAGCAAAATTCTAGTGGTCTGCATTTATTTTTATGAATTATAGTATTCCAATTTTCTATAAAAATTCACTGCATTCAAATATTCATAAATTTCATAATGTTTACTTATATATTATTATGATTTTTTAAATTTAATATCAGAAGTATATGTTCAATTTCAGTTCATTTTGAATTCAGCAATTCATATCTATTATAAATCGGGTTTAACGATAGTATTATTGCAATATGAAAGTAAGGGAGCAGTTCCATAATATAAAAACACAATTCAGCAATACATATTCATAAGCTGAATTGATTCATTATTACAATATGTTAAAATTAAATTTGAAATTTAAAGAATTTTTTTGTTAAAATTTAAAGAATTTTTCTTTTGCTATTTTTAATCGAATCGAATAAAGAATTTTTCTTCTGCTATTTTTTTTAGCAAAATTCTTTTCATTAGCTTTGAGCCATCAGCTTTCTACTATTTTTAATCGAATATTAAAAAGCGGTTGAATTATCATTTTATAGAATTTATAAATTGGAATTTACTGTATACAAAATATTATTTTTATCATATGTATATACAAAAAAAAACATAAAAAAAAAGTCAAGGAGTAAAAACTTCATTTTTGAGGGCTTGCGCAAAACTTTCTTGTTTATGGGTATATTTATTTTACACATACATATTGATTTGTATATATAAATAATAAATGTGTATCAAACACAAAAAAAAAAACTTAAAAATAAATCCAAAAATTTGGAGAAAAAAAAACTCCTTTTTTCCAAAATATGAATTGAAATTGGTTTGGGGTTAGGTGTTGTATGAAATAATAATGTAATTCTTGCAAATGATGAAGAAATTTCTGATTTTCAGAATGATATAAGGTATTTAGACACCAATTCAGCTTATGAATTTTAATTGCTAAATTGTGTATTACAACCATTTTAAAGCAATTATGAAATTATAAATAGGAATTTTTATAGAATTCTTTGATGTAAATTTTTGGTACAATTTGATGTACGTCCATTTATCTATAAAGATAAAGTATAGTCTAGGATATTTACTTTATTTAACTGCTGAATGTATTGCTAAATAATATTAAATTGATGCTATGAATTTATATTTGAATGAACACTGCTGCCATCTTATCTGACTACATTATTTTTTATTTTTACTTTAAAAGTTGTACCATAGTGTTCGAACACTATTCTTCAATATAGCTTACATATAACATTGTGAATATGAAATTATTCTAGTACATTTAAAAATTTGTAAGCACCTACTTTTT